AAAAAAAAACACGAAATCACACTCGATAAACAAATCAAGAGCTGCAAATGAACACGACAACAAACAGTAATGAAGAAAAAAAAAAACGATAATTGGGGAAATCTTACTTTGAAATCGGAGATGGAGTGATGCTCTGAACTGCAATCCAAAAAGTCTTGAAAATCGCCATTTTGATATGTGCTTTGAATATTTGTACCACCAGCCTCACTCTCCCCATGTCGAGCTTTTCAAAAATAATAAACGGGCTTTGCAAGCCCACAAGGAAATATTGTCCTAGTACTGATTAAAGCCCGTTAGAAGAACATTAATAACAAGATATATGGGCCAAAAAGATATATATGGAAGCTCGTGATTCAACACACGATATGTCCACTTATTTACAATATTGCCATCTAGCCCACCATTTCAAGACGAGCTGTCGGGACTTGTACTGAAATGTGACTTTTTACTAAGGTCTCTGCAGCCGGTCCTACTCTCGCATTAAATTTACCATCAGATAACCTGGGAGAATGTTAGATGCCAAAAACGCGTTCATCTATTCAGAACCCAATTTTTGACAAGTACAATGTATACGTGGGCGCACCGTACCATATTCACATGTTTGACTACAACATACTAAGTTTGAATTGATCATGATCGTTGCCTTAATGGATTCAATAATATAGATTCATTCTTTTTTTTTTCACTATGACCATTTCTCGTATGATTCCACTTATCTCTCTATAAATACTATAAATGTCAAATGAATCATTCCACGTACTTTTTTCAAATACTTATGTAGGTTAAGGTGCACATTTGTATATTTATTCAATTAATTAAGTTGTGGAGAACACAAAAATATCGTAATGAATACTTTTATTGATAAATTTGACATGGTGATTACACCATTCATGATATATGACAATTTATCGGCCGGTCATCCCGAGTGTCAATCATTTTGACAGTACTCCGATCAAAGAACCAATCGCCAACCGCCTGTGCAACGGTCTGCAAAATTTAAAATTAATTATTTTTAGTTCCCTAATATTAAAATAGATCACTAACTATTATTTTCTAACACAAAAATATAATTTGCATAAAAAAGGTAATAAGGTTAAAATTACCTTATTATCCAATATTGGTGTGCTCCATCTTGTAGTTGACCAAAGGTGGTCATGAATGTAGCAAGAGTCGATAAACAATCCTCTCGACGGACTATCACTAATATTCGTCACTGTCTCCAGGAATGTATTTCTAAAATCTGTAATTAAAATTCACACAACTTAATTTAAGATACCTATTTTTTTTTAATATATTTTTTAGTTATATGAGAATCAAATAATAATAATAATAATAATAATAATAATAATAATAATAATAATAATAATAATAATAATAATAATAATAATAATAATAATAATAATAATAATAATAATAAAGAAAGCTCGAGTACCCTTTATGAGTTGTAATTGACTAGGTGTGCAGGTTTGTGTGTCGTTAGTGCAACTCGTCCAGCCTTGCTCATCCCCAGGATAAGGTTTCAAATTGAATGTGACCTAAAAAACACATACATTCATGGAAGATGGTGTGGTCCCGTTACGGAACAATTTCATTGGGGTTTGTAACCGTTAGATCAACTATCATTGACGGGTTCATGATGATCTAACTTTCACAAATCTCGACAGAATGATTCCTAATAATTTGATTCTTAATATAATTAAAGAAAGAGTAGTTTGTGATTAATACAAAATTTGATCATAATTACCTGGTACAGATCAAAAGCAGAATTTAGTAGGAAAAGTGGTGTCTCAACATCTCCAACCAAATTTTCGGGGAAAAAACACTGCATAATTTAATTATTTGTTCAAGTTTTCTATCAATTTTATCCAAAAATAATTGTCAATAATAATAATAATAATAATAATAATAATAATAATAATAATAATAATAATAATAATAATAATAATAATAATAATAATAATAATAATAATAATAATAATAATAGTAATAATAATAATAATAGTTATCAACTTAATAGTAGCAATATTATATATCAACGCACCAAACTCGGGTCCATTCTTGACGTGCATGACTCTGGCAGAAACTTTGCTACTCCCTATATATACCAACATATAATAAAAAGTTAAAAAGTATAATCATAATTTTATTATTTTTTTATTGTTATTTTTCTATTATTTTATTTTATATATTTTTTTTAAATCTTATAGGGCTACAATAAGTACAAAGTAATACATGTAGTTGAACCACTTGAGCATATTCACTTTCTCTATGATCAACATTTGGGAGATTTTTCCTGCAATCATTTTTTTTTTAAAAAAAAAGTATTATTGAAAATTCATTGAATATGAATTTTAAATAATTTATCGAAAATTATATTCCAATAAAAGAAATGTAGTGAATTCTTACGCTCGGATGAAGAAACCAGAATCTGAAATGCATTTCGTTCTGGCACAATTTGGCACCATTGCCCTAAACCGGTCGCAGTTCAAAATAGTCGCTAGTCCTCCAGCCGAGTTGCCGGCAAGGATAACCTTTTTTTTTATATATATATTTCAATACCATAAATAGAAAAAATATATTATATGTGAAAATTAAATTTGTATTATGTGTGTCTAATTCGTGAATAAAAAAATGGTCGTACATTTTGAGCATTTTGCAATCCTTTAGTTAGTAGTTCTTCCACGATTGCGCTGAAAATCCTTGAGCCTCTATAATGGAGATTGGTTCCCTGAATATAATGTATATATGATAAAGTCAATAGTTATATTAATCTAAACATTGGAGGTTTTATTAATTTAAATTGCCGATTTAAATTATACAATAATGCGCGTGTATATATATAGACATAGTTTCATTTTTAATCTACTATATTGGTCATTTTTCAGCAAAAGTCCGTTTTTTTTGCAGACATCAAACTTCCTACATTGATTTAAAAAACTCATCAAATAAGATACACTAATCATTAGTGATAGGATAAAGTTTGCCCTCTCCTTTCTGGCCTAATTCAAAAGTTGTCTAATGTCCATTTTAAACGGGTGACCTACCGTTGGATTCTTCTCGTCGAGATGGTCGTATCGGTAAACTTTTAGCTCAATAATACTTTATTTGCCCACTCAATTTTCTAGCTAAAATAATTTAAATTATTTTCTATCTAGTTTAATTACAGTGTCATATAACATCTGGTTTAGGTGGGTGACCCATTATCGGATTCTTCTTGTCAAACTGGTCATACTCGCGGAATTTGGTCTCTCTTGAAGCTCATTGCCTGCTCAATTTGTCATCCAAAATAGTTTTAGCCCAAATTCAATGTTATCTATCTAGGGATCATTTTTGTGTCTTGTGATGTACGTTTTAGTAGGCTGATTCACTGATTTGTCTCATCAAGACGGTCATAACCCTAAATTTTTAGATCAATTAGATTTCATTTACCCAGTCGCTTTTTCATCTAAAATAATTTTGGTTGTTATATTTTATAATTTTGGTTGTTATATTTTATGCTCAATTCACATCAGCTTCAAGTATTTGATCAACTCTTGAATTCTTTGACTAGAGACAACCATATGAACCAGAATTTAGATAAATGGAATTTGTTTGCTTCGTCAATTGTTCGTTCGAAATTATATGCACAAACTAGATTTTCAGCCCGTGATTAGCCCGCATCGATCCTGTGATGATTTGACCTTTATCTTCCACTTAATAACTAGTGTATCTAATTTGATGAATATTTCAAATTAATGTACTAAGTTTGATGTCTGCTAAAGGAGGACATTTGCTGAAAAATAATATGATGGACGAAAAATGAAATTTTGTCTATATATATATATATATATGGGGCTATTTCTTCTCTTTTGGTAACTGTTTTTTCAGAATTAGATGACTTATTTAAAGACTTACGGGGTCAACAGCTTCCACATCTCCCGTAAACGACGACCCATCACAGTATCGTAAGTAAACTACATTCCAGTTGTAGAAATCTATAATCAAAGCATTCGATTATAAGTAATGAATAATTTAATTAAAAAAATCTCTATTTGATTACTTCATAAAGTTGAGCTAAGAATTATGACTAAATGCAATCTTAACAACATATATATAATTTTGATATAATTCTTAGATTAGATGAATCAAATTAAGTACCTGGATTTGTGGATTGGTTTGAGCTCATTATCCCACCAAAATATGTTCTATTGATGTTAGTGGTGGTAGAAGTACTTGGCGAAGTTCGCACTCTATTTAGGCAATCACTTGTTGAGCTACACCATCCTCCTCCCTATACATATAATTTTAAATCAAAATCTACTAATTATTACTTACATGACTAATTACACTATTTAATTAAAGTCATATCACAATGATTTGAAAAGTTTATTTAATTCAATTGTGAGATATATTCGTAGACAATACTCGTATTATCATGTTAAAATTGTGTTTGTATATAACTTATAATAATAAATAAGGGTGCATCGGATTCTAAAATATTACTACAAAAAAAACTCTTACATTCCAACGGAAATTTTCCGTTGGAATTCTTTATATTTTCCGTTGGAGTAGCTATTCCAATGGATATTCCTAGGTATAAAAATTCGTGGAAAAAACGGCCGTTGGAATAGCTAAAATCCAACGGAAAATCCTATGGAAATAAATTTCTATAACTATTCCAACGGAAAAAATCCATTGGAATTTCTCAACCATCCAACACTTATTCCAACATAAAATTAAGTTTGTTGGAATATTCATTGGAATTTCCAACGAAAATTTTTGCCGTTGGAATTTTTTGTTGGAATTGAAGTATTTTCTTGTAGTGTATGTTATATGTGATGTACATCAAATATTGGAAAATAGTTTAAATATTGTAGTGAAGTTATCGCAGGGGCTCTGTACTAATAAATGACCTTAAAATTGTGCACCCCGTGCATCACTCGTGTTCACATTTTGCCCTATTACAGGTCACGTACTATATATATCCCGTACATTTTTTTTTATTCATTTATATAATTATAAGAATGGATAAATGACCTTAAAATTGTGCATCCCGTGCATCGCACGGGCTCTGTACTAGTGTACGATTAAAATAACATTATACCTATTATTAGGAGCGTCCTATAGTTTCATAATATAAGAAACTTTGTTCATATTTGATCAATTTTGGAAAAAAAAAATGGCTAAAACATTAAATGCCATCACATATATACATTCGTTCCACTTGCACCATCACATTGCTAATATAATATTTACACTATTAAAATAGTATCATAAACATATATGTACTTTAGTCTTGTTATTATTTCTCACTAAGTATATATGATTCTTATTTAATCTATTCTATGAATTCTCTATTTTATTGTTTATTTTGATTCTGATATGATTAATTGGCCTGGTATAAATATATATATCATTATGAATGGTAAAATGAAATAATGAAACATTAATTATTTCGTGATAGAGAGTGAGTTTGAAAAAAATGGACCGGAAGATAAACGAGCCAATTATTTTCCCCGTCTCCGAATCCTTTGGAATAATGGTAACCTGCCGGGCTACCATCTAAGCAAACTGCACCACCAAAAAAAAATATATATATTAAATAAAGAAAAAAAAAATATAATTTAGATTATTTGCTGCAAGATTTTGTAATTACAATAATAAAAAAAATTACATATCAGGAGAAATTGATATATGAAGAAATTGATTATTAATTATATATATTATTATATAATGTGACCTGCTCCTTTAGCAACAGCGTCTGAAAGGATTGTAATGTTGACCCATCCAACAGTGTTATCACCATAGACTTGATCAATATTAAGCACTAATAGTGCCAACAACAACACCACTTGTAACAAGTGACCAATGGATTTTGCCATTCTGAATATATATAGATAAATAAATAATTATCAATATACATGTATAGTAAAATGGAACTCATATTTACAATTACATTTTCTTGATCAAAATTGTTGAGCCAGATATCGAATTGAAATCATTAAAATTAACGAGTCGATCAGTATGTTTTGGCTTTCTTCTTCTTCTTCTTCTTCTTCTTCTTTTCTATATCTATAAAACCGACAAAATCCCTCGAACTTTTTGAGATTCGAAACTCCAGATACAAAAACTTTGACAAAATCAAAACAAAACAAATTCACAGGAATAAATTTAATTACCTTGGTAAACCAGCTGGTATGAATATGATCACTTGTTATAAAAGGGGACAAGCTTGAAAAACATTGTTATTTAGGTCTATTGCATATATAGTGCACCTTGTGAACAATATTTTGGAAGGTTCGAAAATGTGTGACACGTGTTCGGCGCAAATTGGTAGTTGAATTCCAAATCAATATATATACATGTATAGTAAAATTGAATTCATATAATTTACAATTACATTTTCTTGATCAAAATTGTTGAGACAAATATCGAATCGAATCATCAAAATTAACGAGTTGATTAGTATGCTTTGGCAAATGCTAAAAAGATCTATCAAAACCGACAAAATCCCTCAATTTTTCGAAACCTGAAACTCCAGATACAAAGAAGAAATTCGTAAAAACCTAAAGAAACCAAATATAACAAATTAATTCATGGGAGATTCTACGGTTCCGTTACGGAATCATTCTGTCGGGATTTGTAACCGTTAGATCAACTATCCACAACGGTTACATGATGATCTAACGATTACAAATCCCAACGCAATGTTTCCGTAGCTTTTCTTTAATTAATAATATTACAACAAGAACAGACAAAAGCAAAGCGAAACAAAACAATTCACATGAAATTGAGCAAATAATAATAATACAATAATGCCACAGGAATGAATTAATAATTACCTTGGTATGATCGATCGATCACTTGTTATAAAAGGGGACAAGCTTGAAAAACGTTGTATTAGTAGTTCTATTGCATATATAGTGCACCTTGTGAACAATATTTTGGAAGGTTCGAAAATGTGTGACACGTGTTCGGCGCAAATTGGTAGTTGAATTCCCAAATCTTAGGAAAGCGACAACGGCTCTCGATCGCATTTATCCAACTAAATAGTAGTATTATGTGGATTTTGAGGCTGTCACGCATAAGTCATAACCCGCATTGGGTGCACCACTACTAAATAAAATCGCCATTTTAAGGATTTTCTTTGTTAAGGAAAACTCCATATATAAATAACTAAATATTTGTAATTAGAGTAATTCAATATTTTTGATCATATCTAATTTTAGTAATCGGGTTTTTCTGACCGATTTTCCAATTACGAGATTTCTGATTTTCCACGTTAATTATACATGTGTATTTATATGCTGCAACAGGAATCTTCTGAGGAGGTGCTAAATATAGACTTCTCGAGTATGAGCCTAAATTTGGATCAAGTCCGCTTTGCTCATACTTGAATAATATTTTAATTCTGAGAAATGTTATTGCACTTCTCATTTAACCCCGAGTTACAAATAATTCATCTCTCGACTAAATGCTCGATTTATCTCCCCATGTTTAACATATAACGTTCGCTGATTAATTTAATTACTACTAATATAGTTAATCAGCTTCTTTATCTGAAATTAGTACCACTAATTAAATTCATTGGTCGGGTTTAACATAGTACTCCTTCTTGAGCTCATTTCGGTAACGTCATCAACACACGGGAACCGTAAACAATTTCAATGGCACATCATGCAATCACCATCATTTACCAAAATATCGTGTCTTTCGACTCACCGAAATAAATCTCGCTCTCGGTAAATCAAATAAATAATAATTGAATACATATGCTCGTTTATTGTCTTACGGGTTAAGAGAACATATATATTACTGAGGTCTAGATTATTTACTTAGTCAGTATAAAATAATTTTATCATCTGGTCCGATGTTTCAGAACCATCCTTTTGAACCGATTCAATTATCTGCAAATTAAACAACGTATCACATTAGTTTATTGAAATAATGGTGCATATTAATTAATGACTTAGAATGTCCATATAGAGAAGATGCATCTAGTCATACTTTACTCTCTTATATATTAAGGTGGCCATCATGCTTTCCAATAACCTTATCTTTTGCTGACTAAGATCCTCTTGTTGCCTAGGGCTTCTTCATATTTGACCGTGTTTACACTATTCATATCTAATAGTGTTCACACATGTGATCGAGTTGTCTTCAGTTCTCAGCTCTCCTTTAAATCTATAAACAAGACGACCCATACATGATCAAGTTGAGTAGCTCGGTTAGCTCGGCTTTCTCGAATTTAATTTCCCCAACCTGGAATATACCTGAACCGGACGACCTATACAGCTCGGTTATGTCATTAAGGTTTATCTATTATTAATTGGTTCCAAATTCGTATTCAATGTATTAAGGATTCTCAACATATTAAATCATTTGAATTTTGTGGGCAATTCTACAATTGTTAATTTGTAATGTGCATGTCAGCGTCCTATTGAATCATTGTATTCATTTTCTTTCTTAAATAGTGACCTTCCGTCGTGCTATAACCTTGTAAGCCATTCCCTTTGCGGTTTTCCTACAACGCATAAAATAGAACTCTCTTGAATGTTTTTGTGGTCACTTGATCTTTTTTTTTTTTTTTTTACATGGACCTTCCGGTTTTCGGATCCACATAGAAACCGATTAATCCGGAATCGAGCCGAATAGGACCACAAGGGCGGCAAAGCTCTCCCTCAAGAGTTTTTTAACACTGCTGCATTCCCAGGACTCGAAATTAGTCCACGCTAGGTCGCTCCCTCAAGAGTTTTTTGTCGTCACTTGATCTTTAATTTCTCATTAATAATTAGTCCACGCTAGGGCAAAATAATTAGACCTGTTCAAAATAGGAAACAAATAAATATTTTAATATTTACTTATTTACGTAAAATAATTTGATTTTACATACACGCATGATTCGCAAATAAAATCTCATTCGAGTTTGTTTGTGTCTGACAAAAGTTCGTTCGTTTAATCGAGCCGAGTTCAAACAAAATACTAGACTCGTTTAATAATCGAACAAATATGAGCTTGTTAACAAACTTTCGATAATATTTGCGAATATTAATTTAATATTATTTTTTTGTATACTTATATGATATTTTTAAGATACAATATCTAAAATATAAAAATATTTTTATTTATTATTTTTGAGTTTGAATTAGTGCGAACGAATAATTTTTGAGTTAGTTGAATAATTTAAAATAGTTTGTTTAATTCCTAATTATTTTGAACTAAACTCGAACTTTAATGAACGAGATTGATCACAAATTTTCTCTCACAAAATAAACAAAAAATAAAATAAAAATAGCTAGTGTTCGAACGTAAACAGACACAAACTCAAAGTGTTCAAGTTAGCTCGTTCGATTTGATTACTGTTGGAATTTCATTTGTGAATTGTCCCGCGCGCATTGATTCTATTAAAAAAATGAGTCTAGTATATAAGTCTAGTGGGTTACTCCTCTCATCACCAATTGATTTTGAGATGGAACCTCACTAAAGTGCACCTAACTAGGCTCACCCTTTAATAGTACGCTTCACCTGGTGGGACCGCACTACCTTTATTCGCAGTTCTAATAATTATAATGCAACAAACACGCTATACATTAAATATATGTTTGAGAGAGCGAGAGACAACACTATCTTTTTCCGGTTCTAATAATTACAATGCTACGAACACGGTGTACCATTATGTTTAAGAGAGCGAAAGAGTGAAAATAAATTCATAGTAATTAAGAAACCGAGTTAAAAACACTATAAGCTACAAAATATATATAAAAATCAACATTTTTATACGAGTCTAAGGGCAACTGTATGAATTGTTAGCTCGAAAGAAGAATCAAGCCCACCACAGCATATCTTCTACAAATTGAATAATTGATAGATTAATGGGTAATTTATCAATGTCTTGATTGAAAATCGTAAAATTGTATCAACTTTCTGAATAAAATGGATTGGGAGAGTAGAGTGCGCAACGGTAAAAGAACACAAAATATAAGTGGAAGCGGCAATTAACAAATTTAGCTCGAGAAACGTCTCACTGACTCTCAAAGTTCTTTCATTAGCAAATCGATTGTCTTCCGTGGTATATAGCTTGAAAATATAAGTATAAAATTAACTCCCTCCTAAACCTTAAACAAATATACTGAAACTTGTTAACTCATTCACTGGCAACAACGTGGATTAACAACTATTAATGGAATGTAAGAATATGTGGCCCGAAAGCATTGGGCTCACATTTAATTATCCTATTGGGCCAGACCTTATTTAATAGTCAAACAAATTTAAGCCATTAATCTGGATATTTGATGGACGTACCAGATTTAATGACACCCCTATATAAATTAGTCCTCTCTCCTCCTATTAAGGTACGCAGTCATAATCCCATCACTTTTCTGCTACGTTAAGATTGGACAGGAGAGAGAAACTAATTTTAGATCTCACAATCGATCAAGCCTCTTGTGATCATCAAGATCAAGATCGCTGATTATGTCGTCTTCCGCATCAAATAAGTATTTCGTATACACCAAATTATTTATTCAAGATCCTTGATGATGTTTACATGTGGCATCAGAGCATGTGTTGTGAATAAATAATTTGTTGTGTGAATCATATGATGAACGTATAATAGCACATATGAATTTCGCCGAACCGTGTGGCAATATTTCTTGTTGGAAATTTCGATTATGTCTGTATAATAATTGATGAACTGCTTTCGTGAGTTTCGTATCCCAATTATTTGCTGGGTAAATAATTGTACAAGTATCAATTTGATTTATGGTATGATTTAATGGCATCAATTTGATCTTTACTCACGAGTTCCAATGCATGATGAAATTATTTGCTGGGAACAAATATGTTATGACTAATTGAAATTTATGTATTTTGGATGATGATG